TTTTCTATTAAAAACAATATGAACTATTGATCGGTAATATTGTTTCAATCTACTGATTTCTGACAACTCTCTTTGGATGAACATTTGGCAACAAACTATGACTTGGTACCAATAATAGATAAAAAATTCCCTTCTCCTTGCAGTTAAAGACAAATCCATGACCTGCCTAGGGTTTGTAAAAGCTTTGAAAGTCCTTGAAGATGCTTGAATTTAAATATTAAAAACTCAAGGCCTTGAAAGTACTTGAATTTGAGGACTAGGGCTTGATTTTTGCAATGCTTTTTCTTTAGCAGTTTTCAAGTTGAAAATTGCAGTACTTTCGTGGAAAAGCGAAAAATAATATTAAATGATTTTAAAACTGCCTATGCAAACCTTTCCAAAAGTGGCCCCGATTTTCTAAAACTTGGCCTTCAAAGTCATTGAAAAGTCCTTGAATTTCAACCTTGAGCATCTACAGGAACTTACTCCTATATCATGATATATTATTCGGATTGTTGTCTAGTACCATAACAAAATTCATTACACTCCAGCAGACAAAAATAAACACGAGTAGACTTATTCGTGACCGGCAGTGATGAAATTGCGTGACTACAGTAACAAGGGCAATATGGCAGTCCCCTAAGGATAACTCCAGATGTGCGATATTGAAAGTCTGAGTTCACACAGATATGCGTCTAGTTTATTACAGAAATTACTGCACAGTGTAACGGATCATATTTGGTCATCAACTTACTTCTCAGTTTCAAATTAATCTACTTCCTGTTATGTAGCTAGAAGCTTCATTTCCATCGGAATGTTGCATCGACGAAATTGTTTTGATTACTGTATTAGTGTCAATGCTATTACTAGACATATAACCTTAGCTATTAAAAGTATTTTGAACCACAGCTTAGATTTTGTCTCAAACAAAGATGACAACATGAAGAGTATTGACAAATGCATCCTTGAGCGCTCTCAAATTAAAGACGCTTTGTCCTTGTTGACCTGTTTGACTTTTGTGAAAACAATTACTAACACTCCTAACACTGTCTTGTGGTTGAATGTCAAAATGCATACTAAAATTCTAAAGGAAAAGGTGTAAGCCTCCGCAAGCTATCGGAAAGTGAAATGTTAAAGGAAAGTTGGCCGCCAAAAATAACCCGCGAGGACGGCTTGCAAAACCCTGCAAAATCTGAGATTTGCCAAAACGAGGACTTCAGCGAGATATCCAGGCATGTAAGTTTTCGTTGATGACCTTCGCTTCGAACTGAAGCTATGCTTACCTTTGCCATATTCAACACAGATTTCGGCTATTTATTTTTTAAAATTTCTTTTATTGTCAGCGGATAAATTGAAGCTCGAAATGGTGATACACCGTGTGTAGTAAATTCTCAGTCGCCACCCTTGACCAAAGCTGATTTTCAACACCGTGCGCTGTTCCAAGCAGTATATAAATATATCTAGTCTTTCCTAAGTCCACCAAGTAAATTTAAT